AAACTTTAACACAATCTTGTCTCTTAATTTCTGTCTATAAACATTATAAACACATGTGTATATAACACTCAGACAAACATCATCACATGGGGTTGTCTTAATCAGCGATTTCTCGAGATTGGAGCAGTTTGATGGAGGTGCAGGCTACCAACCGCCGTCTTCAGTGTTGGTGAGTCACCCCAGCTCACCGTTTTTTTCGTTGGGTGAACGCTGGGTGAGCGCCCCGTTTTCTCTTTTTGGCTGCCCCTTTCTCAGTGATTGAGTCCCTGGAGGGACTCATTTATACTGATTTAATGTAAAACACAAGTTTTACAGCTTTTTTTTCGAAGACCTTGGCTCATAGGTTTATTTGTCCACTGTAGTACAACATAGTTTGGACCACAGAGTGTATTATACGGTTCGAGCACGACCAAAACTCGTTGAGGATTTTGGCCTTACCTGCTGTGTTTATTATAACTATATATAATGACACTTACTGAATAAATGAACAGCAATTCGTCTACACAGCCGCCCCTGCAGAGACGAGGTCTAAGAAAGCTGTCGAAACCATCACAACAGTGGGCTGTCTAAGAGATACGATTTGTAAGTAAAATTTACCCCTAGGGGGGTGTTATGTCGCATATTTCATCATATGGCTGAACGAAATACCTACTTTTTGGACATCAAAAAGTCCACACCTTACTGCCGATTATAGGGTTATTACAAACTCCTTGTACTCAAGATATTGCGCAATCCCCCGATCTACAAGAAATTCGAAACATACCTTGCTCTTTGTAACGTGAGCTTTGGTGTTCTCAACACCTTCGACAGTACAGTTGACTTGATAGAACTGAAGTGTCCTTGGAGTCCACGACATCCATTGTCTAGTGAACGCACACTGTAGACACTATGTTTCCACAAGATTTGTCTTTATAGTTCTACAAAGTATCACAAGAGAAGCTGATCCCACTTCTCGAAATGTTTGTTTTAGAGACACTTTGCTCCACACTAACGCACAGAATCTCCAGCGTCAGTGTCACACTCCATAGAGTCAAAGATAGTCTGTGTGCCATACGGCCACAGCGCTCCATGCCGTCACTGCCCTAATACACACAAAAAAAAAAAACGCTGCCTAGAAACCTTGCATCCCTTGTCACCACCTCGATGAAGCAAAGCAAACTGGTTTGTTTCTTGCTGTCTTAATCATAGACAACAATGAAACCCTATCTTTACTATGGTAAATAAAGTGGGAGCAGGATTTACCTTAATTTGTCCTCTAAGTAAGAGATGTACTGTACTCTTATAAAAATACAACACGCTGCCAACAACCGCTGCAAGGAACATGTGGTCACTGACTACGTGGCATAGCATCTGTGATCAATTACCTCCAACCTCTAGCAGTCAAAAACAAGACGCTCGCCCCTTCTGAGTGGCCCCCAGGGCTGAGAGGCTTGGCCTCACAGGCTGAAAGGCTGAAGGGGGCTTGATACCCCCCTCCTGGAGAAAATTTACTCCACAGTAGAATTCTTTGTTATCTAGCTTATAATAGGCTACAATTCATAAAAGTCCCCACAAATTTTGTAGATACATGGCCACGGGTTTTTCCCTTAATTTTCCTGCTAAGAGGAAGAGATAAATTACTCTCATGTAATTTTACTTGTAGATGCAATGAAGTCTGATCATCGTAGTAAGAAGAAGGAGGCATGACTATACGCTGGCACAAAACATCACTGATCCAATAAATCTGTTATATGAGGAAAGGAGTCCATTAGCCCTTTCCAGGAAGGCTGAGTCCCTCAGGGGGCAGGAGAGGGCTGAGAGATAACCCCCTTAATCTGGAGAATTTTCTTCACACTAATACACACAGGGGCGGGCAGAAAGATTGCCGAGGTGAACTAATCATATCCCTTAACACTATTTTTTATTTCTCACTACCCCACCAGCAGCTGATTGTCTTTTCCTAACAACTTTAGTTTGTAAGGTTTCTGAGAATCACTAAGCTATTTCAACACTTTGTAATTGTAATGTACTAGTTTAGTCTATTGTTCCCGCATATTCACTATAACCTTTGCGCATAACTTCAACTGTCCAGATGGTTCCATTTGCATCAGGATGTATGGCCACTATTATTTCCAAGAGCCATTGAGTCCTGACATCATTGTCAATCGTACCTGAAAATCATACGTCTTAAAGAGGACGTATGATTTTCAGGAACTCCAGATCCAAAAAAGTGTTCTCTCAGTGAGGTGAGACAGTCTTCTAACCAAATTTTCACCAATCGTTCAATCACTTGATTAAGGTGATTGAATTACGGCTGAGTTGCCTCAGGTTCGAGATGATTTCTCTATCATTCAAATTGTCCAGATCACGTAACATAAGTTGTTGACTATTTCTACTTCAGATACGACTTTTAAAATTCTTAAAAGTCGATTTGCTGACGAGAAGAGCCCCCTTAAAAAACGTTTTTCGTGTCTATCATTCTTTCAAAAAACCCCCTTGACTGGAGCCTTAGGAGGCTGTGTCTCCAAACAAAAACTGCGTTGATTCAGCACTGTTGTACCTCTAGTTATCAAAGATCTTGTTAGTAAAGGGACCTGCAGCAAAGTTCACTGCATTTTTCGAAATTATCAGTCGGGACACGCCCTCGGCTACAAACCCTTTTGAATATTTTTATAAAGGTTCAGCAGACAGTTGTGCTTTTTAGATGTAGCTCAGTTTTTTGCACAGGTTAACAGATTACACCTTGATGGGAACTTTGTCGATTGTTTTAGTTAAAATTATTGATCCAGTGTAATGTACACCTGTCACCTCAAATGGAGTGACATGACAATGCTCTTTCAGAGGGATAGGGTGGTGGACCGGGATACCGTAGTGACGACAAGCAATGCAATCCCTTATTTATTTTTTCACACGCTGTCGACCTTCAGGTATCCAGTAGGACTGTTGTATGTGACGAAGTGTGTCAGCTACCCCACCATGTAACACGTTACTGTGGGCGTTTTGAACAATCAGTTTTGTTAGCCAATGATTCTTACGGATTAATATTGGATGTATGGCTTCTTTAGGTAGTGAAGAATTATGAATTCTTTCCCCGACATCTTACAATCTTTTCTGAGTCGAGAAAAAAGTCTTAAGAATTAATCATATTAGATTTCTTTGCGGATTAATCCTGTGTTCCAGAAATTGTACTCTGTAGAGAAGACATCTTTCTGTATCTGTTTTAACCCAATATTGACGGGTTCATGAAATTCATTTAAATTTGACTCTGTCCTTTATTTAATTTAAAGACAAGAGCTCTAACTCTTAAGACACATGGATCCAATTAATCTGTTTATGAAGACTAAAGAGAGTAGTAGGAGAATGTCCTCTGGACAGGATGGAGTGAAACCGTGATTTGGTTGAAACTCTACCGAATTATGGTGATAGGGGGAATTTTAAGTATTAACAATGATTTTCCACCCCATGCAGTGTGATCCATAGATCCATAAACAAGCTCATAAATCTGTCCCCATCCCACGCATATTCGTCATCCTCACACCATGTGGTTCATTGTAAATTAGCATTAGAACCGCGATGGTTTTCTCACCATCCATGCTGTCTGTTGGTAAACCTACGTACCAGGATGTTCCATTAACCAAACATGTGACATTTTTATGTCATCTTGCGTTGGAGGCTGACCAAGTGACCTAACCAAATTTCTTTCACTGAACTCCTCAAGATCTAGCCGTTTAATATCATCTGATTTCTGCACATCCCATGTGCCTCTACCACTTGTTTGACACACTTCACATCAGTCTTAAAATATTTCCTCTGCAAATCAACAATAATTTTTTTTTCTCATTCTTCGCCATTCCCAGTTATTCATATACTGGGTTGACTTTCTGCTTCCATTACCATCTGTTAACTGGTGTACACTAGAGTCATTGTCCACCTGACTCATAATTAATTACAGATGATCGTAAAGTAAATGGGGATTTAAAGCCTATCCACTACACGAAGATCATTAAGGATGTACATAACATTTACTGCCAAACACGAAAACTTTAACCCTAAAACCTTTTATCATATATACTCTGAGAGAAGTATAACTCTAAGAGTATATATTCTAATGATTAATAGTTATATAACAAAAATATGATTGAAAGTTACTTATTATAAGCATGAAACATTTTCTTGCTATTTATTTTGGTTACGAAAATTTTATGTATCCTATTTTTTCAATATCTTTTTACAGCTGTTACGCAAAAATGTGGGATAGCTGGGGGCTTGAGCCTGGTCTAAGGGCAAAGGTAAAAGTTACACACATCTCAAGCCCAAACCGGCCACCCAGGGCTATCCCAGTCAAAACAGAAAGCGCTAAACTGGTAGTGTGTACTTCAAGGGGTTGGGTAACACAGGGTTAGGCAAAAATCCCAATTAGGAAAATATATCTATTTAGTCACCATAACATAACATAACAGAAAAACCTTAATTCTAAACGCCCAAATGAGGGTACACACAACAGCTGGCTGGAGGTTCAGCCACCATAACACTAGGCTTCGTCAGCGTCAGGCCGTCATTACACTACAAACCTCATTTCTTATTTCTTCACTCATCCCACAGCACCCTGACCATGTCAGAGCCTGGGTGAACATACAGTAAGCCATATGCGAGCCTATGGCTTGAGTTGGGATAAACAAAATGAGTGTACAACTACAAACTTATCTTAATACACAGCATCTCTCCGACGCCAGCCTCTACACACCATGCTAACGTCACGTGACTCCCCCAAACCACCTACTCTGTGTACCCAAACATCCTTGGAAAATAAATCATTAACAGAATTTCTTTATAATTACAGTTAGAGTACTTTACAGTACCCCCAAATGCACATTAAAATTATAAAATTATTCTTTACAACTATAATATACATATTATTATGGCACACTTCTCCACTATATGTACATTACGATGTCATGCAGAACCCTGCATAACACAGGCATTATCAGTTTTATTATTATGAAAAATTCATTTTTTTCCAGGCTGAACTGGAAAGTACTGGACCAATATTAGTACTGACTTTAGCCTTCGTTGCTGAGTTAGGCTGGCACAGACTGGGCACCGAGGTAAGTGTGCCATTGTTCGTATCTTATAGACATGTTTCACACTTCCTTCCTGTTTTATGTTACCATTGACAGTATTTTGTTAATTCCCACTCGTCTTACTTAGTTACATATCATATTTTATCTGCAACATATCAACATTTTGTCTACAACATATCAATATTTTGTCTACAACATATCAAATTTTGTCTGCAAACATATCAAAATTTGTCTGCACCATATCAATATTTTATCTGCAACATATCAATATTTTATCTGCAACATATCAATATTTTATCTGCAACATATCATATTTTATCTGCAACATATCAATATTTGTCTGCAACATATCAATATTTGTCTCACACCATATCAATATTTTGTCTGCAACATATCAATATTTTATCTGCAACATATCAATATTTATCTGCAACATATCAATATTTGTCTGCAACATATCAATATTTTGTCTACAACATATCTATATTTTGTCTGCAACATATCAATATTTTGTCTACAACATATCTAATATTTTGTCTGCAACATATCAATATTTTATCTGCAACATATCAACATTTGTCTGCAACATATCAATATTTTATCTGCAACATATCAATATTTTGTCTGCAACATATCAATATTTTGTTCTACACCATATCAATATTTTGTCTGCAACATATCAATATTTTATCTGCAACATATCAATATTTTATCTGCAACATATCAATATTTTGTCTGCAACATATCAATATTTTGTCTACAACATATCTAATATTTTGTCTGCAACATATCAATATTTTGTCTACAACATATCTATATTTTGTCTGCAACATATCAAATTTTATCTGCAACATATCAACATTTTGTCTGCAACATATCAATATTTTTATCTGCAACATATCAATATTTTATCTGCAACATAGCAATATTTTGTCTGCTACATATCAATATTTTTGTCTGCAACATATTAATATTTTGTCTGCAACATATCAATATTTTATATGCAACATAATCAATATTTTGTCTGCAACATATCAAAAATTTGTCTGCAACATATTAATATTTTGTCTGCAACATATCAATATTTTGCCTGCAACATATCAATATTTTGTCTACAACATATCAATAATTGTAATCTGTAACATATCAATATTTTATCTGCAACAAATCAATATTTTATCTGCAACATAACAATATTTTGTCTGCAACATATCAATATTTTGTCTGCAACATATCACTATTTTGTCTACAGCATATCAATATTTTGTCTGCAACATATCAATATTTTGTCTGCAACATATCAATAATTTGTCTGCAACATGTCGACATTTTGTCTGCAACATATCAAAATTTTGTTTCCAACATATCAAATTTTGTCTGCAACATATCAATATTTGTCATACAACATATCAATATTTTATTCTGCAACATATCAATATTTTATCTGCAACATATCAATATTTTATCTGCAACATATCAAAATTTGTTTCCAACATATCAATATTTTGTCTACAACATATCAATATTTATCTGCAACATATCAATATTTTATCTGCAACATATAAACATTTTGTTTCCAACATATCAATATATTTTCTGCAACATATTAATATTTTGTCTGCAACATATCAATATTTTATCTACAACATATCAATATTTTTGTCTGCAACATATCAATATTTGTCTGCACATATCAAATATTTTGTCTGCAACATACATATTTTGTCTGCAACATATCAATATTTTATCTACAACATATCAATATTTTGTCTGCAACATGTCAACATTTTGTCTGCAACATATCAATATTTTGTTATGCAACATATCAATTATTTGTCTGCAACATATTAATATTTTGTCTGCAACATGTCAATATTTTGTCTGCAACATACAATATTTTGTCTACAACATATCAATATTTTATCTTGCAACATATCAATAATTTTATCTGCAACATATCAATATTTTATCTGCAACATATCGATATTTTGTCTGCAACAAAATAATATATTTGTCTGCAACATATCAATAATTTGTCCTGCAACATATTAACATTTGTCTGCAACTTATCAAAAGTTTGTTTGCAACATATCAATATTTTGTCTGCAACATATCAATATTTTTTGTCTGAAACATATCAATATTTTGTCTGCAATATATCAATATTTTGTTTGCAACATATCAATATTTTGTCTGCAACATATCAATATTTTGTCTGCAACATATCAATATTTTGTCTGCAACATATCAATATTTTGTCTGCAACATATCAATATTTTGTCTGAAACATCAATATTTTGTCTGCAATATATCAATATTTTGTTTGCAACATATCAATATTTTGTCTGCAACATATCAATATTTTGTCTGAAACATATCAATATTTTGTCTGCAATATATCAATATTTTGTTTGCAACATATCAATATTTTGTCTGCAACATATCAATATTTTGTCTGCAACATATCAATATTTTGTCTGCAACATATCAATATTTTGTCTGCAACATATCAATAAAATAAACAGAACAATTTAATAATTACTCAAGCGGTTGCCAGAATTCTTTTTTCTTTAACTTTCTGTATTTGTTTCGCTCATAACATGAGTAGGCTTCATTCAACCGTCTTCAAATTTTCAACTCTGGTGTACGGTAACTAGGCAAAGCTTCTAGAGTAAATGACATGTGCAGGTGTTCTTTGACCAAAGTTGTAGGACCCACTTCCAGCATCCTGGTATGGCGCTGGTAACTTTCTAAATCATTTGGGGCGTATCTTTAATTGTTCAAACAAGATGCCTCGTAATTGTTCAAACAAGATGCCTCGTAATTGTTTAAACAAGATGCCTCGTAATTGTTCAAACAAGATGCCTCGTAATTGTTTAAACAAGATGCCTCGTAATTGTTTAAACAAGATGCCTCGTAATTGTTTAAACAAGATGCCTCGTAATTGTTTAAACAAGATGCCTCGTAATTGTTTAAACAATATGCCTCGTAATTGTTTAAACAAGATGCCTCGTAATTGTTTAAACAAAGATGCCTCGTAATTGTTTAAACAAGATGCCTCGTAATTGTTTTTAAACAAGATGCCTCGTAATTGTTTAAACAATATGCCTCGTAATTGTTTAAACAAGATGCCTCGTAATTGTTTAAACAAGATGCCTCGTAATTGTTAAACAAGATGCCTCGTAATTGTTTAAACAAGATGCCTCGTAATTGTTTAAACAAGATGCCTCGTAATTGTTTAAACACGATGCCTCGTAATTGTTTAAACAAGATGCCTCGTAATTGTTTTAAACAAGATGCCTCGTAATTGTTAAACAAGATGCCTCGTAATTGTTTAAACAAGATGCCTCGTAATTGTTTAAACAAGATGCCTCGTAATTGTCTAAACAAGATGCTTCGTAATTGTTTAAACAAGATGCCTCGTAATTGTTTAAACAAGATCCTCGTAATTGTTTAAACAAAGATGCCTCGTAATTGTTTAAATAAGATGCCTCGTAATTGTTTAAACAGATGCCTCGTAATTGTTTAAACAAGATGCCTCGTAATTGTTTAAACAAGATGCCTCGTAATTGTTTAAACAAGATGCCTCGTAATTGGAGGACGGCGGAGAGTGTAATTCAAGAATATAGGTGAACATCGACTATTTTATGTGTAAAATAGTGGGAAATTTTGTTTCCCCATTAAATAAAGTTAAATATATGCGCCAACTTTTTCTGAATGGTGTCAAAATTTTTAGGGATGATGCATAATTCATGCCGGGATAGTATCCATTAAATTTAATTGTGTGGACAATCTAAATTTATTTTATAAAACTTGGAATAGTTGGCATCCATGTTGTTAATGAAGAATGTCTCTTATCACCCACAAATTTCCATCCCAGGTGTTTCCCACAAACTTTGTTATTGGGCCCCTTAACCTTCACTTTGCCAATTATTAAACAAATAATGAATTTTAATTTTCCCATTCAATAAAATACTGTAAAATTATGAAGATTATATAATATTAACACTGATACATTCATAAAGGAAGACACTCCAATTTAGAATTTTTTGTCAAAAATTTTAAATTTTATTAAAATTATTAAAAAAATGAATTGATAGATTCAGAGCAATTATTAGAGATATTTTTTTGATAGGCTTATCAAAAGAAAGTTTTGCCTTCACTTTGAGCCATGTAACTTTTAAAAGGGGAAGTATTTTTTAAAAATAAAGGCTTTGTACGTCCCGGGTTAGCGAATTTTTAATATTTTTTTTATCAAACCGAATAAAAAAAAGCACAAAATCTAATTTTTTTTCTCAGAGGGTTATAGAGAATTTTAAACAGAAAAGAACTATAAAACTGAGAAAATACTGTAAACTTATGTTTTCATAGTTTTTAAATTTTTACATATACAGTGAAGACTTTACTTCTGTTAAATTACATAAAAAGAAAGAAGGAACACTGCAACAAACCTACTGACCCATGTAGAGCAGGTTCATGTCCCCCAGGATTTGCCTAATGACCCACCCAGTCCTGGTCACCCCACTCAATGAAGGAGCACTGCACCAGACCCAGCAGCACAAGCTAGTCAGACCCAACTCACACCCACCCACACCCACTCATGTATTTATCTAACCTATTTTTAGAACTACACAACGTTTTAGTCTGAAATACTGTACTGTGGAGTTTTTTCCATTCATCCACAACTCTTTTACCAAACCAGTGATTTCCTACATCCTTCCTGAATCTGAATTTTTCCAACTTGAAACATTGCTGCGAGTCCTGTGTTGGCTGGAATTTTTTTCACACGCTATTACATCCCTTTATTTTTTTCTGCTTTCCATTTATACCCCCTCGATCATATCCCCCCTAATTCTAAAACCTTTCGAGAGAGTGCAGATTCAGGGCCCTCAGTCTACCCCTCATGGGGGAAAGATTTCTGATACATGGGATCACCCTTTGTCATCCTCCTCTGTACGTTTTTGGAGAAATTTTATATCCTCTGTAATCGGTAACCAAACTGAGCAGCATAGTGTAAATGAGGC